GGGGGGCCGCTCCACTCCCCAATGCCTTTTTTGTTGGGGAGGTTTCGGGGGGGGGGGGGGGGGGGGGGCAGTTTTCTTTCCCCCTGCTTTCGATGCATTTTTTTTGTGCTCCTGTTGTTGGCGGGCTGGTCACGTCAGCGAAGCCGAGTGTCCTGAAAGCTTTTGGCGTACTCTGGCACAATTCGTTTCAGTGATTTTATTTTGGCCATTGGGCAGCTGGTGTGGTAGCGGCTACGCACATGCAAGTCAGGTGCTAGCTGCGACGTTTCAGGCCGCGTCGTTAACGATCTCTTTGTGCTGTACAAGGAGTTTGACTGGCTGAGACTTGGCAGCGTTATTAGTGCGATGAGGAGTCAGGGCTATGTAGCAGGCCTATCGGATGTGATTTGGTGTGGGCAAAAGCGCCCAACAGCACAGCATTGTCCGACTAATAAGGGTGCCACATGACTATGCCACAAATGGCACGTGTAGTCAAGCATAATCTGTTGGCTGCACGCCGCGCGTTGGACGTACGTGTTTGTGTGTTGTTTTAAGTGGCAGGACATTTCGTATGCCCGATGTTTGTGTGCGGGAGGAATGTAGTGACTTGGCAAGCACTTAACAAGAAACAATTTGCAGGTGATGTCTGTCATGGCTCGTCTTCTGTTGTAGGCAGGTTAGTTCGGCCTCAGCCTACCCTCGGCTTCTGAGTCGTGCGGGCGTTCAAACGTGTCTACCCATCGTAGGCGCTGGCGCGTCTTGACGAAATCTAACCGCTCCCAACTCTGTGGTCAGCGCATGATTTAGCTCAGTATATACGACCACCGCACGCGGTTGTCTTTGGTTCGCAGCGATCCTTGTAGCCAACAGGCGCCAGCTCCGAGTTTTTTATTTGGGCAATCACTCACTCCCTGAAGAGAACGGACACTTCGGCAAAGGACGTGGATCGATCAAAAGCATCGAAGGTGCCGCGAAAGATCGTAACATTCTAACATTCTCCTTCGGAGCATGCACCTAGGATGCACCTGACTCTTGTCTCTTTACAAGAGTCTGAAACTGTCCACGAACGAGATTCGTGTTGGTCTCGAAATCATTTTCTTTCCACGAGGCCATTACGATATATACATGACAAGAGTGGAAGAATTGAAGGACGGCGGCTGATGGCTGGTCCCCAAGCACCCAAAAAGACGTGGAAACATTAAAAATGAGAGAACGAACCAAACCCAGATTTTAGACAGTCACACCTTAATTTACTTCACGCTTTACATCGACGGAAATGTAGTGACGGAATCGCCCCCGATCCCTCAACAATGTGGATTGTTCATGTTTGAAGCCTTCATGCATTGTTCTTACAGAGCCAACACGTCTAGAGCGAAGAAAAAATAACGTCTTTATGATCGCCTCCCCTGCCCGTTCGTCTCAAAGAGGAGCCAAACCACCTTCCTCGACTCGGAAGAGCTTGTCTGTGTCGAAGACCTCCGGCACGGTGACGCCCTTCTCTTTCATCTGAGGGAACCACAGCCCGGCCCCCAGGGCCAACCCCAGCCCAAACGACCCCTGCGGGGCTCTCGTGTCGACCTGCTCCTTTCTCATCTCCTCGAGATCGTAGACGGCCTTCTCCATCCGCTTGACCGTCGCGTCCACCTGTCGAGGGGGTCGGGAGGACAGCAGCACTGCTTCATCAAGAGCATCACTTCAAAGCACTTGTACTATAATAGCGTCGTTCTCTGCAAGTATTTAGTTGTTGACGTACTCAGCAGCAACCGAGAGCGCAGCTTATCTGACATCCGGCTGCGGCCCGTGTGCACCTAAATTGTCGTCTAACCGATAGAGATATACGTGCACTTGTCAGGGGAGCCCGCAAACTGTTGTCCCGCCATACGACTGCCGTAACTTCTTGGTCAGCCGGCTAGCGCGGTCAAAGGAAAACACACAACACACACACACATACCTCAGGCATGACCTCCTCGGTCACCCGGTCGATGGCCACGTACAACGCGTGCAGCTTTCGGGCGTTCTCTAGTAAGGCCGGGAACACCTTCGACCGCAGCATGCCGGCGTCCTTCTCGAGCTGCGCCCCGAGCCGTTGCGACCCTCGCAGGCTGAGCTCGGCCTCCGCCACGTACGATCCCAGGGCGCTCCGCTCACCCGGTCGCAACGACGACGATCCGCCGGGATTCCTACCGCTGTCACCGCTAGCAGCAGCAGCAGCAGCAGCAGCGCCTCCTGGACGCGGAGTCGCGGAGGCCGCCGCCGCGGTTGTAGCGCTGCCGCCACCTTCGCTGCCACTGCCGCCGCCGCCGCCGTCGGCGGCGGCCGCCCCGCCGCCTTCTCGGAAGGAGCGGCTGACGACGAGGCGCGCGAAACGAGCGGCGAAGTCTCTCACTTCTTCCTCGATCCCGACCTCGCCGTCATCGGCCACGGCGTTTTTGTCTGTTGCTTGATCCGACATCTCTGGTCGCGGCGGATCCCCCCCCCCCCCACCCCGTTGCCCTAGCTGGCACGACCAACCGTCCAGGAGAGCCGAAGAGCGGTAACCTACAAAGAGGAGCAACAGCAGTGGCCCATTAAGTGATGTTGTGGATGTCGGTTCGGCAGATTTGGCTTCCAGGATTGCTCAGCTTCAGATCGGCGATTGAAGGATAGAACCAAAACCCGCCGCTTTCTACAAAGAGCACTGGATAGACAATGCACCGTTCGTTTGACGCCGCTCATCCGTCTGCTCCCTACTGACCTGCGACGTGAAGAAGAAAGCTGGGACCCGCGGGTGTGTCATCTCTCTAGGTTGAATTTCGACCCTCTAGGAGTATTCCTAGGGGGAAACAAAGAGCTAAAGCACACCAAACTACCGCGGTAGGCATGAGACGAATACATGGAGAAGCAGGCGCAAGGCACTCCATGTATACTACCGATGTCTTCGCCGCCTCAGCCATTGCAGAATTTTGGAAACAAACCGTGACAAGCGCCTTTGCTTGTGACCTGCCTGGTTTTCCAGTGTTTCTCTTACGTCGGTCGGAGACATTTCCTTATTTTCTGTTTCCGTGTGAACACGCACTCTTTAGGAACGTGAAACTTCCGTACAAAGTGGTGCACCATCAGAAAAACGCTTGGAAGTTTGAGGTCGTATGGTGCATGCACAAGTGAGGGGATTTTAAACTCTGCGCTTGTTGCACGCACAACCAAAACCATCCATTGTTTGCCACGTGCGGCAGTCCTGTCGGCAGGCAAGCGCAACTGCCTTACGGCACCTGAAAAAGGTTTATGTCAGGTCAACGGGCCTTTCTTTCACCATTTACGCACATGCTTCGGTGGGTATCTTCGCTGGCTTGCCATGCACGGGATGTGACCCAACGACCAACGCGAGCATGAGGCATGCAGGAGGTGACATCAGCGAGCGACTGCTGTAACCTGGGGTGGTATGTTTTGAATAGGCTTGGCCATGACGGGGCTCCCAACGGCACCATCAATTTATTCGCTACACATCTCCCTACAGTTTCACAACATACAGCTACCCCTGCGAGCTCGAAGCGGTGCTTGTCCTGACAATGCATGGAGCAACCACGACACGCCTGCGGACAAACAACCCTGGGAGCAAGTCTAAAATTCAAATTCCGCCGCATCCATCTCGCACAAAAAACGTGGAGGAGCCAGCCACACCTGTGCCTCCCAGGAATATGTTGTCCAGTGTGCGCGATGTCCGGGCTTGATAGCAACCTCTTTCACTGCCTCTCGACTGCTCTTACTGCCAGGTTTGGGTGGTTGCTGTGTGCTGCGTCGCTTTGCTTTGCACTACACAGCAGAATGTAAGGGGTTCCGCACTTCCGTAGGATTTGCAGTAAAGCAGGTACTGCTGTTTACCCATGAGCAAACCCCCATGTCCTGCCACTGGACTGCCAAAACGAGTTGAACTACAAGAGCACTGCCCCTCTTTTGCGACCCCTTGACCCGGCACGACGGACTTAGAGCAAGAGATAGAGACATCTCCTTCAACCGCACAGGTGAGGCCATCTTGCTTGACGATATAGCAGATCGTGCGAGTCGCTTTACGAGAGTAGTAAAAAAGACGCTACTTGGAGAAAGAGGCTCGAGCTGGCTTTCTGGTGACACATTGTTTTCAAGCAGCTGCCTCGTTCGGTGCAACGTTGGATTCTGGGTTGGTTGTATCTCGCTTCTCCTTGGTGACGTGGACTGTTCACTACAAAGCCGTCGACGCTAGGTTGTGTACGTGCTAGGGCTGGCACGACTATATACCTACCTAGTTTCCCCAGCCTGTTTTCAGTGCTGTACCTTGGGTCTCGCTGGACATGGTGCATATCTTGTCTGAGAAGTAACCTGGATCCCACGATGTCACCCGCTCTTTTTTGAGACGTAGACTGCTTGTACATCTGGCGTCCCCGAGGGTTGCCTCTCTTGACTGGTACTTCGTTCTCTGGGTGTCTGGGTGCGATCGGGTTGAATGGTGTGTGGATAGTCGCTGCGAATGCACGACGATACTCTTGTGCTGAAACGTTGCGGAATAAGCATATTCTTAACATGACAAGAGTATGCGGGGGCGGGGAATAAACTGGGGCCGCTACGTACAGGCGGCTTGTTTTTTAGCGACACCGCCACGCTTGCCGGTTGTGCTGAAACATGAACATTGTTAGAAAATCCTTTTTAACAGATTAATGTGTCGGCGGGGAATTAGCTGATGCTGTACAACGCAACGACTTAGCGATCGTTGTCTTGCGACTAGGGACATTAATCTGCTGCTGTTCGCTCTTTATTAATAGTCAATCTACACTGAAGACATTGAGCTGACGAGCAATGAAATCATGATACATTTAGTGGGGACCTCGCGTGCTATGTGGCAGCTCTGATGTACTACATGTACAAAGGATATTAAAAATCATTTTCTTCTAGTACGGTGTTCGGGGCGACACTTCTGACTGCAATTTGTCTCATCTGAGCAAGCAGTAGCCACACCCTAGCAGAAACATCAGCGAAAAATATCCCGCAATTCGAAATGGTCAGCGAGCTGCCCCAAATACATTCTGAAGTCCCCTCCTCCTCTCTGTTACCCTCTGTTCGTGCTGACTGTATTGAACTATGATCCGCCACACACGGGCTTCATTGTTGTTTAGCAGAAAGGACGGAAACACAATCAATCATGGTCACCGCCGATAGCGACCGTTTCAAGGGCATTCGGCGTGATACACTGCACAACGAGGTGGACGGATGCTTCGACGACCTTGAGGAGTTCGAAGACCGCAACGAAACATCTCCGCAATGTGAGTCAGTCTGTCGCATGCTTGGGTCAAGCTAGAGAGCGGACCAACTCGATAGAGGCATGCGCCTTTTCTTCATGTCAAATGACGATGAACAGGCGCTCCAGCAATAGTGTGGAGCCGTTTGCGCATGTTGATGGCTTCGACTTGATGGTCTTCCCCAGTGAAGCTTATTGCATCGGGAGTTTCGGGGTGTTGCCGGTGCAAGTCTGGATAACGATCCGTGGGCTTGGGTGAAGAACGGAATGACGTTGCTTGGAAATCTATGTAGTTTGGTGGTACACGTTTAATCATGCAATGTGTTGCGTAGAACGGCTTAAAACCTAGGCGGACCGCAACCGGAGCCCCGGAAGATCTCGCGCGAGAGGTAACCACGAAGTGCTCCCCAAAGGCGAAACCGCACTACAGAACGCCGCTCCTCGCACACCGCAACAAAGCAACATCTATGCTTACCACCGCGCACCGCAATAACGGCAATATGTACATATTTGCCACCTTCGTTCGTTTTGTTGCTCTTCGAACCGAATCATTTGAAGCCCGATTTGACGCACGGACACAATTTCCACCTTTGTTTCGTTTTGCGGCGCTCTTCGACCCGAATCATTTGAAACCACACACACACAGACCGGGTTACCCACCAGGAGTGTGTGTTGCTTAACCGTGTCCTCTCGGACAAGTCCACGCTCCCATCGGCCTGCTTCGTGCCGCCGGGTGCTGAAGCAGCGGCACGGAGAGCCTCCTCCTCCTCGCAGAGGCCCAAAGAACCCAGGCCGCTGCCGGAGGACGGCGAGACCGCCGTGGTGCAGCTCGTGCGGCGAATTACGGGGGCCGTTCAACCGGTACTAAGCAGCCTCACCACTCCTTTGCACGCGCGCAAGAAAGGTGTGGAAATTCTGCAAGCAATAAGGACGCTGCGTCGTGGCAGCATGGGTGTCTGTCGTCTTCTGTAGACGAAGTGGCACCGCAACGCAACAGCCCCTCCCCAACGCCTACTCGTGCTTGTTGCTGTCATGCTGATACGCAGTTCTCAAGTTGCGTCTGTGCTTCGTTGTTTTTACATTAAGTCGTGGAGCGACAATGCAGTACATGCAGCGGTACACCCTGCAACACGAGTTCCTCCTCTGTAGTACTGTAGAGGGTGCAGTGTTCCCTCACCGAAACGAACGATAGTATATGAACAGCTGCACAAGGCTTGCGTGACGTGACTCCACCATGCACGAAGCATGCGGAAATATCCATCTGACGTTCCAGCGAGTTCGTCCTGCTACTGCAATACGGGCACCACACACAAGAATACATTCCAAGTGCTCACGACCCCCTCCTTCCAATTGCTACCGCCTCACTCCCCGTATTCTTGTACCCCTTTGCTGCTTGATCCCGTTCCTTGCTCGTTGCATCTCTGTCCCGCTTGCTTTGGCCGTGTGCTTCTCTGCCCCCCGGCGCTCTCCTCCACCCACCCTCCCCTCTCACGGTCTCTGGGCAGAGATGGGTGGAACGATAACAGAGGAGCAATGCCAGGCCCTGGCCGACTACCTCTCCCCTAGCGTCGGCGGGGGTTACCTGTTGCCGACGGCGTGCTTCGGCCTCCTCAAGCCTCCTGACGAGGAGCAGGCCAAGATGTACGTCATGCAAAACGCCGAGATGTACGTACGCCTCAAGAAGCGACACACCGGAATGGCAGAGGAGGGCTATTTCCCCCCCACGATGTGCTGAGGACACTTCCCGGTGTGGCAGCGCCCACGAGGCCGGGTTTCGAAGCAACCCCCCGCCCCCACCTTCATGCACGCCGAAAGTGAGGTTGTATTTTGGGTCTTTCTGTCTAGCTACAGCACGTTCGCGAATTTAAAGACGTGGGCTCGGTGGTCGAGGACTCGCCCGGTGCCTCTTTCATGATTTTGTGTCTTCGCGGTCGTTTCAACTGCGGAAGCTGTTTCCGTGCGTCTTCTTAGGTAGTGCAAGCAGCAATACGTTGATGGTGTCATGTTGAATGGTGGGGTGTATATTAACAATCGCGCACGAAGATCGAGGTTGAGGTGCTTCTCCACAGTAGTGTTGTGGCCATTGTCTTTCCTTTTATTGGAACAGCAGATTGTACAACTTTTATCGTGTCATGTTAACAAGTGTTAATTTCCGGTTGTGGTTGGTCGAGGCGCGCGTTGTGTGTAGCCTATTTGTATATCACGTACACTACTGCGAGAGAAAATGGCGAAAAGAGATGCGCCGCAGGTCGATGTTTTTGTCGTGTTTTTGCTTGCTTGCTCTGCATGAAACAGACTTGTAAAGGGTCGGGGCTGGAACGGGGGGGCGAGGGGGGTTGGCATCACGGTTCGCGTAACGCAGAATAAGTGCGAGGTTGCTCTGCAGTAGAAACGTCCAACATCTGATCTAGCGACGACATTGGTCCTTCGATTTTCTTGCCTTCTTGTGAAAGTCCAAAACGTGCGCGCGTGGAAAGGAATCTATGGTGGCAATTCAAGTTCGGGACCCTGTGTGTGCGGTAGGTATAGGCGAGCGCAAGTTTCTCGTGTAGGGGAGTGTCGGGAAGGAAGGTGTTCGTGCCATCGTTCATTGGCTGCAGACCGTAGCGGCTTGAGCTTTACTTCCCGCGGGAAATATCGTACCCCGCAAAGTACTGACCACGTTCTTTCGCGAACGTTCACCCACCTCGCTGGTGTGTCCATGTACGCGTACCCTGATTTGACAAAAACGGTAACCTGAGGTCTTTCATCACAATAGCTGGGTCCTGCCCCACAACGTTACGAGGACGTCGGCCGGCGCTAGTGCTGTTCCTACTAGCCTCTTCCCGCACGCCTCGCGCACACACGACCGAACGTTTTTCGTTCGTGCAAAGATGGGTCCGATCCTCCTATTGCTGGATGTATGTATTTTGTCCTGTTCTTCGGCGGATGGGTCGGTCCATCGTACCGAGACGGCGACAACAATTACCAATAAAAAAGTGGAGGATTCGAAGCAACCCTGACCAGCAGAGGCAAACAAAGGTTTCTGGAGCGCGAAGTGGCTGTAATTAGCTCACGGCATCCCAAGCGGTTGTCAAATGGCGGTAACTGCGTGTGCCCATCCCGATATTCCCACATCGGCGCACGGGGTCTTGCGCGCTCTCGCCTCTCGTCGAAAAGTTTAAAATTCAAATTCAAATTGGGGAAGCAGCCGTGGCACACGGCAATCTGTCACTAGTATCACCCACCACTCATTTGATCTAGCATATTCGTATTCACATGTTGTGGTTGTCCGCTATTTAGCTTACTCCCCTATCCGGATGTCAACAAAACAAGATTTCCCGTCGAAGGAGGTGGCTCTTTCACCCGCCGACCTACTTCTTCTTATGATCAACAAAAGGCAGTACACAACAAACACCAGAGAGTGGTAGGACTACCGTGCCACCAGGTAACTCGTTTCGTGCGTCAAGAGCCCCACCAACACAGACACGCACAATATTCTCGCAAGAAAACTAGCTGAAGGCGCCGAAGTCGTCCCCCCGCCCCACCCCGGTCTGGAACCTCGCATCCACCGTAAAGAAGTCTCGCACTTCTCCGACCTCCCTTCGCTTCGCCTGCCTGTTCGCCCATGCCTTCTCCAGCTGCTTGGGTTCCTGCGGCCAGTCCGGGTGGTAAACGCGGTGTCCGCACCGAGGGCAGTCCTGTCGTGCAGCAAGGGATGGAAAAACTGGGAAGTATTAAACTAAATTCGCTGAAGCAAGTCAAGGAACTAAGATTGTTTTGTTCTTTCGTTGTGTAACTATTTCCTGTTTGGTGGCGCAAATCGTTGTTGCGGGACGGAGAGCGCGGCTCCTGCTTTTCTCTCCACTTTTCAATCCGCGCGTCCGAGAGATTAAATTCCTTCTCTTGAGGGGGACGGGGGAGGAGAATATCCCACCTGCACGAGAGAATGTCGTGCAATACCAGGACACTACGAGAACAAACACATCAGCAGAGTGTCACGTCTCTGTTGATGAAGAAAGCCGAGCTCATGGATAGCAGTCAAAACTTGCCCTTCCTTCGTGCCATACCTTCGCGAACGGTGGCTCGGTCATCCACACGCGGAGGCAGTCGTAGTGGAACCAATGCCCGCAGAACACCCTGAATCAAGAAAGCATAACACGAAAGCATGCCGACAGATTAGACGAGGCGCGGTCAGTCGAAAGATCAGAGCTCCAAACAACACGGCGAAAAACAGGTAAAACGACAACACGAGTACAAGTACGAGGGGCTCGATGCATATCTATTGACGTACAGAAAATGTAATATAAAGAAAGCTCGGGCGGAAAAACAACAAAAAGTCCAGACAAGGTCTAAGCAAAACTCAATCGAATCTCAAAAACCAAGCGCTCGATCGATGCCAACCAAATACAGCATCTAGCGGTCGAAGCAATATAACATCTAGAACGTTTCACTCTGGGCACATAGACCGCTTTGGTTTCGTGTCACAAGATACCACCGCAGCATCTTGACGCTCGCCTGGTGGGTCTCTCCTTGTGTGCAGGGTCTCTGAGGGATGGGTGACGAGGGTCTTCCGGCATGACTCTTTTGTCGCACGCGACACACGTCTCCTGGGGGAGTCTCCACCCAAACACGTTCACCAGGAAATCGACCAGCGGCAGCAGCGACGGCTGGGTGGAAAAACCAGGCACGATATTGTACAGGAGGGTCGTTCGGCACTTACTTGTGGGCGCAATAATATATGAGGTGCATCGTGATCGAAAGGCCTCCCCGCCCCGCCGCTAGACGTGACTCTCTTCGCAAGCTGCCGGGATGTTCGCGTGCCTCGCCTCAACGAGCACCACCAGCTTCGCGTCAACCTAAAACTATTTGCGCGCTCGGGTGAAGCACAGCCGACCCAGAGCAACCAAACACAACTTCATCCCACTGCTCCCGCTGCACTGCAAACACGTGGGGCAACGATGTACCGACTCGCGCGCGGGGGTGGGTGTCGGAACAAGCACGAGTTGACACTGGGTACCGGTACCTGCCTACAACGTACAGAGAAGTTTGACTCTCTCGCTATTTTCGCGTTATCCACCTGCGAGGTATCACTCAGCTGGGAGTGCAGGAGCTCCTCCTGCTCCTTGAGCTCTAGCTCGGCCAGTTTCTTGGCCTGCTCCTCTTCGCTCACGGCTTCCGTCTTGGCGAGGGTCTTGAGCTCTCTCCGCGCCGCCCGTCTCTCCTGCGTGCTGCATCCCCGAGCGTGCGAGCGAAATCGAAACCGGTCGGTCATACGACGCTCTCACATGCCAGCCATAAATGCCTCAGGGCAATAGAAGTGCACCCAAGCGCGAGCGACCGACGCTACTTTTCGACAAAGTGCGTAAAAAAATATCACCCTGGGTATCTACACCTACTATTTATGCGTTTTTCCGGCTGAACCCCCACACGCGGAAAATCGTGGGCGCGTAACCCTACCATGGTGTGTAGCCATATGTACCTCGGCGGTGCAACCTTTGCGTTAGGCTTGTTCTTGCCCTCGCCCACGTCGCGCAGATCGTGCGCCTTCTTGATGAATTCCACGTCGTGCTTCAGGTTCCGCACGTGCTCGCTGGTGATGCGAACGTTTCCCGACCCCGCGGGCTTCCCACCTCTCCCTGGGGGAATTTTGATGGGGTTGCTCGTCTGGAGAGCTAATTCCGGGCTGTACCCGCAAAGGCAACGTCGTACGATTTCCTCGCCCTAAAGACGAAAAAAAATGAAGGACAGCTGCTCTAAGCGTGGGGGTGTCGATTTGCTAGGTGTGGTTGTTGGCGACAAAAAACGACAATGAATTGTCATGCTCCAGACGACGCCGTACAGCAGTCGAATCAGATGAAACTTTTCCCCAACACCAAATTTATCTGAACCAACCAACGCTAAGAACTCTTGTCATCGGTAAAAGCCTGGATCCTGATTTTCCGTCTTATAATGAAGGAAGTACGTCCGCTCTCACATTTTTCCATGCCAGGATGCACAACGCCACGATACCCTCCTCGTGCGATCAACGATATTAGAGCCACCACCAACATCCAACACACCACCGTGGACACAATCATGATCATCACCTGCACGAGGTGACGACGCGCTATATGCGCCGGAAAGTTGTGCGACTTCAACTCCACGCCGCAGCCCTCCATCGGGTACCCGTCCGGCACTTGTATCAACGCCACCACGGTGTATCGCCCAGACTTTACCCGGATCGTCACCAGACCTGATTCCTCGTCTGCGCGAAAGCCCCCTCCTCTGCAGCCGCCGTCGCCGCCGTGCCGACCAAGAGTGCACCGGGTATTCGCAAGGCTTTAGTGAGTGGCATGGAGTGGGATTCGAAACCTTGTGTGCAACAAACGAAAAGGAAACACAACAGGATACGCGAAATTCTAGCATATATCTTGCCGCCACTGCTGTTCATACCCAACAACCGACCAAAGCACGGTCCATTCAGAGAAGCTCCCATGCGACACCCTTTGGTCTGCGTTAGAAAACCAGCACAACCCTCTAAATAGTAGCTCAGGGTTCACTCTCACAGGCTCGTCACGAGCGTTGCCGCCTGTCTCAATTCCTTCCAGCACGGCAGAAACTTGTTCTTGTTCACGGCGTCCACCACGACCTTCAGAGCGGCCACCGCCTTCCCCGTCTCGCCGCCGCCTACGGCTTCGCTCTTCGCCGCTGTCGGGGTGCACGCCCGAGCGGCTTCCTCGGCGCTCTTGATGAGCTTCCTCAGGAAAGGCTGGGGCAAAGAGGCGCTTGTGAGCTCCAAGATCGGGGATGTCGACCTAGCCGGGTAGTCGTCTGGAAACTGCAACCGCGCTTGGATCTTAGCGTAGGGAGTTCGCCTGTATAAAAAAGTGGGAAGCTGTGTTTTATTGCTTGGCGCCGTTGGAAGAAAGCTAACCGAAGTCAATGCATGCATGCAAGGTAATCCCATCTTGGTTGGTGGGTTCGACTTCATTGTAGCAGGGGCTGCACACCGCACTTCCTGGCTGTTTGTGCATCATGCTAGCAAACTCTTCGCATCTATTCAGGTATAGCGTTTTCAACTTGGTTGGACCACAGAATCGCCGAGCCCTCACAAGCTGTCGAGCTGCCTGGAACAGCTGGGCAATCAAGGTTGTACCACGTAATTTTATTAAAGACAGGAGAACATGTTTCGCTGCTATCTGTTTCGTTGCTGCTGTTGGCTGCAGGCGACACCTGCTGTCAACCAGGACGAACCAGGACGAACCCGAAGTTTCAAAGTTTCAAGTGCTGTGAAATCTCACATTCTTGCATGTTCCGTCCACGTTAAAGTTACAGAGGGCACACGGCACCAAGAACACCATTGACGGCAATGTAAGCTGTCGTTATCGACCGGCACGCAAGCTCCGAGGAGGGAGCGACGCCAGGTTGGGGGAGGATGTACTCCCTACAACACTGGTAGCGAGAGATCGGGACGGATACTCAGAAAATATGACCACCATTATTATAGCGTACAAATAACAGCATCATACATTGTACGTAGAATGAAGCCAACGCCTGCACTCACATGACAACGACCTGGACGAAGCTCGTGTTAGCAGCCTGTATCATGGGCGCAGGGAACAACTCCCGCACTTGTTGCAGCTCGCTCATGATGTACTCTCTCCTGCTTGTTGTCTCCGCGCCGGCTCCCGCCGCAGCAGAAGCCGATGCCATCTGTTCTGCTGCGTTATCTGAATCAAAATATGCCATGACTATCGGACGTCATGCTCAGCTAGTCTCCATTCTTCGATACGTACAATACGCACGCTCCAGCAGCCTCTCTGCCTCAGCTGGCTGTGTGTTCCTGCTGCGAGCAGCGAGCAAGTTACCCCGCGCAAGGAGGCCCCGTACATCAATATTTTCTTATGTACGGCACCCGTGGTCCTCCCCGTTGCTGTTTTACGGCCCCCCCCTTGGGAAATCGATCGCGTGTGGCAGGCAGCCCACACCCCACCTCTGTCGACCAACACGCTGACACCATGGTGAGTCTACTTTGCTGGCGGTCGCTTCTTGAGTTCCATTGCCATAGCAGCGGGATTCTCCTTTGCTATTCCTTGATTGTGAGCTGTGAACTTCGCCGCTGCGGTATTTGAAGGGCAGGGATGCGCTCAGGGACCTATGGCAACGCGGCGTTCGTGGCAAGGCGGTGCAAAGCAGTAGTAGCGAGTCCGTGTTCCACTTAAAGCTGTCGTGGTGACTTGAGGTTGATAGCATTGACCGGTGAATCGGCTGCAGTGGGAGTTGGCGAGCTCCCTCTGCTGGTGAAGGTCCTTTGCATGGAGTGATTTTTTTTCCGTGTGTACATCATGTACAAGCAGTCGCTGTAGCAAGCGAGCCCCTCTGGTGTGCTGTGTCCGATGCTCTTTGCGATCGTCGTGTGTATGGATGTACAGTATGGAATGGCCGATGTACTCTCCTGTTATTGCGATGCGGCCTGTTCTTCTCGATTGACGTTTTTCAAGGAGGGAGCGATATTTTTGGTATTGCTGTTGTGTACATAAGGGCCACAGTCCTTCCGACAGCAGCAATCAAGCGAACCGCGGGGATTTGAACCATGAGAGAGGCTTGAGGGTCAGCATGGAAAGTGAAAGGGTACCCTTCGTGCGATACAGCAGTGTTGTTGTGAAAGTCGAGTACCCAAGACAGAGCTGTTATTGTGGCAAGTGTCTTGTTGTGAAATGTAGTTGCCTTGCTTGCCGCGTGGGAGCGACGAAAAAGCAGGATCTGTCGGATGAATCAGCCCGGTATTGCGCTGTAATCAACGAACCTGAACCCGGCGTTAGCCTTGGTTTATGCTGAAATGAAGGCAAACGAGCTTTGTAGGTAGATAGGATGTGGGTTTCCCCTCTCATTGAGTAGTCAAGTAAGCTTGCTACGAAAGGGTACAGCGACGAGATGACACTCACACTCATTTGTACGTCGCCCTTTGTGACTGTACGAAGGGTAGCCAATGAACAACAAACTCCATGTGCTTGCTCTCTGTGCTTTTCGGTCCCGGCCCCGTCACGGTGTCTTCTCCTGCGAATTCTCAACTGCGTTCTCCTCTCGTCGAACCACTCCACATACATGTCGGGTGCTGGCGTTGGCTCTTTTTAATCCTCCCATCTTGTCTTGTTTTGCCCTTGGCCATGTTCTCTCTCCCCAGGACAACCAGGGCATCAAGCTGGCGAAGGTGAACAAGGTGCTCGGCCGCACCGGTAACACCGGTAACGTGACCCAGGTGAGCCCGTGCTTGACTGTTTCGAAAAAATACCGTCCCGCCGAGATCATAATCTGCGTGTGGTGGTTGGAAAAGACTCTGCCAATGAAGGCGAAGTCGCCACTCGTTTCCTGTGCGTTTGATATCGACTTTCGTTCCAGACGTGCAGACGCGCGTGAATTCCTCACGGTTTGCTTTCCTAAGGACCTCTTGCTTCACCGTGTATATTCCAAGCTTGTTGCTATGGTTCCATTGGAGTCCATTGACAGAACCATTCACGCAAAGAGTTTCCCCCCCTGAAACATTTTCGCAAGTCTATTTGTGCAGGGATTGGGGCGAATGCAAGCGTTTAGTTCGGACGCCGTCGTCAGTACAGATAAGAGTAGATCAGCAGATCGGGTCACCTGGTACTTAATTCACTAGTAAAATGTCACCACAACGAAAGGAGACAAACGGCCGTTCGCACGCTCTTTTGGTGGTGCGGCAGTTTTTCCAATGGTCTGTTTGATCCTGAAACACTCTCGAACCTGATCCATTTTCCAGAGCTAGTCGTTTAACCACGTTGGCAAATGACCGCCGCCTTTGTAGTTCGGCATGACTTGTCGTTCTCCGTCGGGTGCTATTCACTCTCACGCGGGAAATTCCTCTGTTGCGTAATTCCAATACCCACGCGGCTATGACAGTGAAGCAGCGCCATCCGTAGCATCGTGTACATGGTGGTCGATGTGACGGGCTGAACCGGCGATTGTGTTGACTTTTTTTTAGGGGAAGCGGGGTGCAGCCTTGTCCCAGCGAAGCAATGACGGCACAAAAATTGGTCGAGCTGTTGTTTTACTTGCGTTTCGGAATTTTCAGGGTTTCTTTGAAACCCGACCCATGTGGTTGGTTTTGCTAAGCAAGAAAGAGTTCGGACAGCAATTTGCTTGCACAATACCGCGCAAGGGCAGGGCGCTAGTTCACGTGCATGTGAAGCATATGCTAGTTCGCCGATCTCGGTTGTTTTGGTGCTCATTTTTGTTTTGTCTGACACTCTGGTCCGTTTGTTGTGGGCAGGTCCGCGTGGAGTTCTTGGACGACCCTACCCGTTCGATCATCCGTAACGTCAAGGGCCCCGTCCGCGAGGGCGACATCCTCTGCCTCCTGGAGTGGGAGCGCGAGGCCCGCCGTCTGAGATAAGGCGCCCCAGCCTACGAGACGCTGAACCGCTCCAGCACAGTGACCGCAGTCATGGGCCAGCAACCGCAGCAGTAGCAACAGATGGGGGACGTTGTTCTCCTCGCTCATTGCGCTTGAACGCGAAGCATTTTTTGCAGAGCAGACAGCTGTAGCTTCGCTGCTGCCTTTCGTCTTCGCCCAGGATGGGGACGATGAGCGGGACGGGTTTGCTGTAGCTTTTCTGCCGCTCGGCGGTGAATGCTGCCGTGCGCGATTTGGTGTGATGGTACAGCGAATTGGTAGTACCGCGTACGGCTGTGCTACAGAGTTGGAAGGTGTCGGAGTGGGGCTTTGACCTCTGGCGTGGCTGTGGTGGGTTGCGCATTTGAGTCGAGGGGAGGGGTGTGAGGGGCTCGGCTCTTTCTTGCCGTGCTTCCAGCACGTCTTCGGGAATAAAAACTAAAGACAAGGTTGATCTGAATCATCGAGGACCATGCTTGCCGGGTGGCAGTTGAGACAGCTGGATTATTTGCACAGCTCTTGAGCATTTGCTCAACTCTTCACCCTTGGTTTGGTGCCCCATCCGGTGGTACCACTGCCGTGCTACCGTAGCCTGGGTTAAGAGCTACCGTGTGCAATGGAATGGCCCCATCGTGACTTATGCCGGCCAGGCTCCTCTGTATCTCAAAAAAAATTCTCGACACATTTTCCCGTGTGCTGTAATTTGTAATTTGTTGGCATTTCTACATTTCTACGCGTACCTTGGCTGTTCTGAGATTGCCAAGATGGACACCATCAGACGTGACACCCCCGAAGCCTCTTCGGCAGCTGCCATATGGTACAAAAGGGGGCCAAGTTGCTGCTTTGAAATCCGGTTGCCCAAAGCAACTTCTTTGAGCTCTCTTTCTCAGTGGATGGATGTGTGTTGGCGTGGATGAAGCCAACCAATCAGAGCTCGACATTTTATTTTTATTCTTCGAACGACCGTAACGGCCTCAATATTCATTTGTCCGTGACATTTGAACGACGTAGGTGGCGGCACCCTCCTCCCTCCATCTCCTCCTTTGGTCGTTGTTTCGATACCGGCTTCAGTATCTGTCTGGTGTTCTCGCCTGCCTTTGTTTTGCCTCGTCACGGACAGCTGGGGGCTCCGCAATACGTTTATTGTCTGCAGTCACCCTGCGGCCCAGGGATAAGAGGGCTCGCGGAGTCAGATTATGGACGTACTGCTACCCCACCCCCCCCCATTTTTTCGGGCGTTTAGGCTGACTCTTATGGCAACCGAAAGTTGGCCCGACGTTATTTTTTGGGCTGGCATACCCCCACCCCGCTGATTTGCCACGGATTCGACCAAGAGACAGACCTCTCACCACGTCACCACAGAGTTCTCCCTCCATGATGGTCGGATCGTCACCAGAACTTGAAGGCTGTACACACCACACCTGTAGGCGTCTTTGAAGCTAGTGGTGACTGCTGTGGGGTCCGTGTGTGCTGAGAAATGTCAATCCATGTGAGCAAAAGTAAGAATCCGTATGGAGAATCCACCAGCCCTGTCGTGACGTCGTAACGGCGTGTGCAAACTTTCAGAATCAGGGCATCATGGGATATATATATATATGTACCCGGAATCCAGTATTTGCGTACGACAGGCTGACGGCATTTATTTGTCGATGCACCTGTGAGCTCCTGGAAATAGAAAACAGTATGAGGAGCGGACGACGGTCATCAATGCATAATAACAGGTTCTCGGCACTTTTGAAGGGGGAAAACAGCTACTACTTGCCAATGTAATAATACGCAGATTGAGCGAGCGAGAGAGAGAGAGAGAGAGCTGAATAAATCGTAATTACTTTAGTGTGTGTTTTTGTTTTTCCTTGTACTGTACCAGTAGTCCACGCCACAATACGATCTTCACTGGAATCTTTCTTATTTATGTTCACAGCAGCAAAATACACTTCTTCATGTGAAAAGAGGGAATCGTCCTCGACAGACGTTGGGGAGTTTCTACCTTTATGAAGGTGGTCTCCACATTACCCCCCCCTTTTTTCGAGACTTTTTCTTGTTGCCCAGGCAAGAGAAGTCTTCTTGGGGTAACCGGAACCCGACCGGCTGGCGGCGGGGCGATTCACATTCCTCACAATCCTCTGTACGTGTTTTACGGGTAAAACATTCAGACTTGAACAAAATTTAAAAGTGTTGTGGTACCGCCCTTCGTCGTATAGAGTTAGTTGCGAAGATTAGGAAGATAGATCGAGAGACCTCCACCCCGCAATCGCCTATAGCAACGAAATTGTACAAGCCAAGGCAATGTATGACTCGCCAACTAGGAGCTACTGTACGAGCTGGTAACAGCTGGCAATCAATCGAAGAGCGTTCTCGGGAATGGTCTTTGTACACACGTACGGTACTGATGATGTACATGGACAACAAAATTCTAGCTTTCCAAGTAACAATAGACGTTTTCCATCCCCCAACTCCACTCACGAACGGCCTGTTTGGATCCCTCCTCCAGTCTGTCCTCTCCTTCTTCAGCTGGGCTGCCGCAATTAATTCCGCTCGTCATCGGGTTGTTATGGGTATATCTCGAATGGGTATAGTCTTTCTGTGTGTGTGTTCATTATTCATTAATTTAAGTTTTGCTGCTGGTTTCAAATCTGATGATTTTTTTTTTTGTTTGACACTTTCGAGCTGGTTGGTTGTATCGTGCTAGAGTACCTACGGGAACCGCTGGGTTTCACCCACTGTTTTTTCCTGTTCACCGGCCCTAGGGGTGCTGAAAGTACTGTAGCAATTAGTGCAGCCGTTTATGTACTTCGTACACAGCAGTGAGTACAGCTCCGACGCTCATACGCTGCTCCGAGGTGGGGGGACGACAACCAGCCTTCTAGTCTGCGATCCCCCTCGGCGATTTGATGTGAATGTGCGAACGTGCTGCTGGCTGTGTGATCTCTGGCAACACCCAAGGGCCGGCGACTAGGACGAATCAGTGGCTTAGGAGATCGGCGATTCCCGTAGCCATATTAGCTCCGCGGTCACCAACGAGCTTGAGAGTTTTTAAAAATATCAACAGTTTGAAGGCAACTGCATCAAAAGTTTGAGGCAACTGCTTGTTGAATATCGTCATCACGTCATCACCAACAACGGCAACCGATGAGCGGAATCGCAGCAGCCCGACTGAAGCAGGAGAGAAAAGACTGGAGGAGGGATCCAGACAGGCCGTTCGTGAGTGGAATTGGGGATTGGAAAAGCGTCTGTTGCTTTGCTATGGAGAGCTATGTAACGTCGTGTTGCAGACCACCATCGTCCATGACAGAAGATATCATCCCCCCCCCTCCCCCTGCTTGCCCGATTTTTGAAGGCTCGATTACATACCCCACGGCCGAATGAATGGCGGCGCCGACAATCGCGGCGTCAGTACCGTCTCGTCGAGGGTATTCTAATATTGTATCGTGTGGTGTGTACATTGTCTCCCGCCCGTGGGGAGAACACGAGTTTTGAAAATCGGTCCAAGGGGATGTGCTATCTTACGTCATGTATACTTCAGTTCATGTGTGCGTGTATAGACCATTCCCCGGAAAGCTCCTCACGCGCCAGCTTTACCAGCTCGTAATATGTTCATGTTGGCGAGTTGCCTTAGCCTCTACAATTCCGTTGCTTTAGGCAATCGCGGGGTGGATGGCTCTCGATCTATCCTCTTGGTCACGAACCAAACTTTCTAGAACTTCTAGAAGTTTTTCCCCTAGATAGCATAAAACTACGGGGGAGATGTGGTGATATTCATCAGCTGATATTTATACCCATACGGTGTTTTTGTGGTCAACACCTACCTGCTGGCGTCACTGAAAGTGTGCACATCGTAGGAGGCGTCGGGGGCGATCTTTAGAGCCCGTTGCCAGCTGCTAGCAGCGAAAGCGAGGAAAGCAAGTGCACACCCATCCTGCACGGCAGCAGCAACAGCAGCAGCGCAGCACAGCAGCAGCTACATGTAGCTGATGATTATGAGAGATAAACAGCTCTCTCAGTCATCCCCTAGCTGACTGGTGATGTCGGGTGAGGTGTGAGCGTGTGCGCTGGTGACCTTCGTGGTGGCGTACGCTCCATCCATATCTATCTACGCTTGCTGTGATGTCTCTCTCCGGACCTTCTTTTCGCGCTCTTTTTTTTGTTGGACCCCTCTGTACGCGAGGTGAGATAAAAATCGCTGTTTACACTTCGCCAATTGTGTGCACACGGTTCTGACAGGGCTGGTGGACGAGGCTTTCGGCCAATCCTGATGGATCGTCGTCGATCATGAAGTGGGAGTGCGGCCTTCCAGGACCGGTGAGCAGAACGGTTACAACTGCGGTATATTCGAAACACATCTCGCTATGGATGCGACACCAATTTTATCGTAAACAAGGCAGCAGTTAGTGTTTCATGTATTTTCCTTTCAACATGCATCCCCCCGTACTTGTATCCAAGAAACTTCTGCGGCAGGCGAGTCTTTGTAATAGTGCGGTGTTTCCTCTTCGGCGTTTGAAATCTCGCCCGACTGTTGTCAACAGCCACTGCTCAAGAATCCTTAGCTGTTGGCGTATTCCCTTCATTCTTCTACCGCTTGGCGTCGGCTACGTCTGTCCTCGTGGCTCCTTGGTCGTGTCCCACAAAACACGAGCGCCGCGGCAACAGCAGCCGTACAGCTTTACTACGGCGTCGGTAGCGATGGTCGTGCCCTTTGGTGTCTTTTCGGGCACCAGGCAAACAACACCGTCGGCTGTTTTTCTCTCTCCGGGTGAATCGGCAAGTGCTGCCTCCAAGTTTGACCTGAACGTCGTGCGCTTCTGCTGCCGAGTGTGATACCGTGCACGCCACTTAAAACGACATCCCTCTCGTCTGTTACCTTGCTACACTCCTGTATGCTGCACGGCGCCGGCATGACCCCCCTCGCGGTTTCGCAGAAGAATACCAACTGGGAGGGCGGAGAGTACCGGATCCATATGGAGTTCACCGAAGACTACCCCTCAAAGGTACGTGTTTGTACTTGAAACGTTTCGAGCGCGTTGGCCCTCAACTGGTAGAGGTTTGTATCATAGGTATTTGTCAATGTCCGACTCCATGCTCACAGAAGAAAAAGGGCAGGCTGAGCCTATGTTGTGGTTCGTCAGTTCGCGCCGGTTGTAGTGTTTGCGATCCCGTGCGTGAATTGCTGTCGTGCTGTGATATGCTCACCCGACCGAGCTGTTTTTTGCCTGGCTGGTGCGCTCGTGCCCTTCTCGCCGCTCCCCCTCAGCCGCCCAAGTGCAAGTTCGTGCCCCCCCTGTTTCACCCCAACGTCTACCCGTCAGGCACCATCTGCCTCAGGTAAGTACGATCCCGGGGTGGCGAGTAGATATCGCCGTCGTGACTGTCGCCACAAAGCATACAGGGAAAATTCTCGAGTTTGCGCCAGGAACCTCTTATTTTATTTTTCTCTGCCTGCCTTCCGCGTCTCGTTGCGCTCTATATGGGAAGTGTCTGGTAGTCGAGCGTTTTGAAGTATATCGCAGTCCTCTGCGCGTTGTCAATGCGTCAATTTTTCGGCTCAAGTGCCGAACGCTGCAGGCATCACATGCAGGAAGTGTGGCATTAGCGCGGGGTTGCCTCTTCCTTGCCGCGAGCGTCCTGCCCGGGAGCTCGTACCCTGCATACATATTCAAGTGTTCCTCCACGTATTTTTCGAGGTGCCACCATTCGTGAGATGAAAAAAGGTGTGCGCGTATGTGCACGCTCCTCGCGGCGTTGCAGGTAGTCCGCAAAATCCCGTCCACGCTCGCTTCGTTTTCGCCGTCCTCCCTTTCCGGGTCGGGTATCAAAAACCCAGCTAGCATTGGCGCGTCCTACTGCTGCGTTTATTGTTTTCCTTTCCAATTGCCTTCATCATTATTTTTCCACGGCCGAAGGAAAGAGAGAGGTGCCAACTGCTTCTCTCTCTTTCCTCCGAGCGGCAACCACAAATTCTCTTTTTCTCGGTGCAGGGGCTAATCTTACTGCCCGCAGTAGTCTCAGATGACCAAGTCCCCAAAATGGTTCCCTACCATTTTCTTCGCCAATTAGCAACTGCAACGGTCCTTGCCTCCCCCCACCTTCGAAAGGAAAGGGGTGGGTGGGCGGGAAAGACCAAACTTGTTTGCCGCTCCTCCAGCTGGCAAACCACTCGAAGCCCTCGCAGTGTCCACCTCGCTCCTTGTCTCTGCGTTGCTCTCTCTAGACTAGTCCTCGTAAGACTTTGTGTGAACACCTAGCTTCGATAGAGTGCCGAGGTGGTGGCTACTCCCATGCTCCCGCTTGGGAGGGGACCCCGTATTTCCGTAGCAATTTATGCATACCCTAACAACGACGTTACAAATTCGACTACTTTCAATAAACCTTGATTTGTTTCCGTCTGCTCCTACAACGAATCTCCCCTTGTGTAATCGAAAAGGTTGCGTCCGCCCCTTCCTGCGCCAAGCGCACATTGCTCTCTGGCGCTTGTGCGGCTGCTACTTCCTGAGGCACTTCGTGTTTTGACGATAATTTCCACTGTCAAAAAGGAAGGCAAGGCATGCTGATTATTACACTGCCCCGGTCTATCCCGTAGCTTTTCCACCACGCACGGGACCTACCGTCTCTTCAGGGCAGCATCGTGTAGACTTTATCTTCCGCCGTGAACCGCAGCGTTGCCACTTTCCCTCCGAATGGCTTTGTTGGTGGCAGCATCCTGAACGAGGGCCAGGGATGGAGACCAAGCATCACCATCAAGCAGATGCTGCATGGGATCTTCGAACTTCTGGACAATCCGAACCCCGACGACCCTGCCCAATCAGAGGCCTACCAACTGTTTGTGTGAGTGGCGCTGGCCTAAACTGCGCCGCTATGCGAGTAGTCGGTGCTGTTGCTATTAAAGTATTTGTGGAGTGCTGATGGTTGTGCGTCGCCGGTTTGAGTGGCCTTCTGTCCACGTGCGCGGCTTGTGCGGCTGCGGCTCCGGCTCTGCGTGGCCGTAATGGCCGTTTCTTGTGTGCTTCCAACCGTAAGACGCGACAATGAAGGCGCCTACCGGCAGAATGCCACGCGAGTATCCGTGAATAATCGCTGGTAGAGCATTTTGCCGGCGTGTTGGATGCGTTGAGTCGATTTCCGTGTTGAGCTATTGTAGAGGCATTCGATATCAAGAGTTACCGTTATTGATCGCGTCGTCGCCAGCTCCCACCCCCATCTGTTTATCTCTGACCAGCTGTGTAACAATTTCGTCACCGGACAGGTCGTCAGATACACGTAGTAGCAGATATTTTCGTCCAATCTGTGTCGCTGTGTGTTGTGTTTTCGTCCAATCTATTCTGGCGCCAGTCTCCACCTTGCAGTATATGAAGCACAGCGGTCAAGCCATTAACTATCAGTCTCGGGCAGCATGTCCACGATGCAAACGAATATGAAACCATTGTGATAGACCGAACCGATATGTACCTGCCGCGGTGCGGCGTGATGTCTCCCCAAACGCTACGCAACGCAACACCTGCAGGAACAACAAAGCGGAGTACGACAGGAGGGTGCTCATCGAGGCCAAGAAGAATCCCCCCGCTGCATAGCACCGCCGCCTGCATATCTATCCATGCACAAGCTGTGGGTACCCTCATCCTCAAGAGGGGGAGCGCGATTGAGATGACGGCGCTCAACATCGAGCAAAACAAGAGCTCACAGCACAATGTACATGCTCGGACAAACGTTGGCGGTACAACGTGTCCGGTCCAGAAGCAGGTTTAGGCAGCCGATTGGCATGCCCCCACACTTGACTAGGTGGTACATGCGCAAGTAGTGTGTTCTGTCGTGCGTCGTCTCACCCTCCTCTCGAGGTTACTTGTGAGGCCGAGTTGCGGCGAGCTCGACACACATGCAGGCAATTTGAGTGCCGATCGATTGTAGAGTAAATGGCAGTCGTGGTGCTAAGCACCGTGTCGCGGGTTGCGGGACCGTGGTGTATAGTTCATCTTTTCGTTCGGGCGTTTCACTGTGCTGTCCGAGTGCGTGCCGACACAAAACGGCAATGTTAATGTTGAGCGCGTGCATGGTGGCCGTCGGACTGAAGCTGCCCGAGCATGTTAGCCTTGTGCCCTCGTCTAGGTAGTCGTAATTCCATGAACGTGCTCGTCATTTCTTGTTGGATCCACTTCCTTCGATTGGACATGGATTCGTCGGTGAGCATTTTTTTTTTTTGCCCCAGATTTAGGCAAGCTTGGCATCAGGCAGAGCAGACGAGGCTCAGAACAAGACCTCGGACGATCCCGGGGCGACGGGTAGACAGAGAAACCTCAGAACAACGTACAACAGCCTTCTTGTGTGTAGATATGCGTTTAGAGTTGCTGCCAGGATTTCCGGGCGGATCGCATGCCATGTCAACATGGAAAAGAGGGTTTCTAATCGTGCATAGCAGCCAGGATTTTCGTTTCGGGGCGTTGAGAGGTTTCGCCCGATAGATTGGGTATGCTGCTGTCTACGCGTATGCGCGGGGTTGCTCTACACAAAGAAAGATTTACGTGACTGTGCCGCTGGGCAGGCGTTGTGTCATTTTCCTGCTTTTTTGTGCGGCGCATGAGGAGAGACGGACACGCACGCTTTACTCTCAAGTTCATTCCGCGATCTGATTCCCCTTCCCCGTCGGCTATTGCCGCTTCTCACGGTAATTTCGCTCACGCTCAGCAATCTTATCCCGCGGTCGCAAACCATAAATGATGCATGCAGCAACACAACGACCAACCAAGGACCTCCCGCGCGCAGACGTTGGAGTACCTACGTTGGACACATGTTTGGATCTGCGAAGAAATGATGCTTTCGCTTTTTCTGTGATCGCTGGGGGGGAGAGTCTGTTCCCCGTGTTGTCATGCCCAGGATTCAGCAGGATTTCGATTTCAGAAATGCGCGCGCCGCGGAGTCCGGGAGAGCCCGCGTCAGGGACGGCGTGCATGCTGCAGAGTGGGGGGTACTCCACGGTTTTTCCCACTTGGAGGATGCCCTGGCAAAAACGAGTATACAGGAGGAAATGTCCGTCCCAACTTCATTCTCTATCCGTCAAAGCTCCTTAGGTTGGTTTAAGGCAGGCTGCCTTCTTCTAAAAAAACAAAGAGGCAGACATTAAAAGAGAGTGGCATCATGATGAACAGTTGCGACAAATCCGTCCGCCATCAAGCCCTCCTTCTGCCGACGAAGCCCCTATTGAAATATCGTCGGCTATGTCCAACTATCGATCGTCGCCGCCTTCACTTTCGCCATCTTTAGGGACGGCAGCTGCTGCCGCCGCCACCGGCTTGGGATCCAAAGAAGAGAGTTCTTTCTGCAGCTCGACCATCCCTGCCCCCTTCAACGCGCTGAGGGTCATGACCGACAGGTTCGTCTGTCGCCGCGAGACCTAATTGCAGGCAGGCAGGCGCACAACAGAGACCAGACATTCAAGTTACTCCCTTGTGCCCGCTGGGAGAAGGTACAACGGACGCAAGCGGAAGTCGGTAGAATGTTTCCTGTCCTCCGTCAACGCACATGCACATAGATGGATGATGACGTTTCAAGGCTTGGGGCGGATGCACGTGGAACGTTTGGTTTCTTCATCGCCATGGGTTGGTGTAATCTGTGTGCGTGTTTTCGTCCCCATGCCTGCTGGCACCAGTTTACACCTGCAGCTGCGCAAGAGGAAACAGCAGCACGACACAGTGTACACAAAACATGTGCGCTGAGAGATGTCCAACCCCGCCAACAGGCAGACAGACAACAACGTTTTTGTGGTGTTGTCATCAACCGAGGAGAGCACACTTCGCCGTTGTGCCGGTTCTCTGCGGTCTCTGCTGTGCAAGGTGCAAAAGCAGGTGCACGCAGCCGTTGACCTCCCGCTCCCGCTCCGCGCTCACCTCCTCGAGCTGCTGGCGAACGAAAACGACTCTCCGGGCGAGATCTATCCGCTTCACCAGGTCGCACTTGGTCAGCAAGATCTGGATCTTTGGGGGGCGGTACTTGCCTGCAAGAGAGGGAGGAGGGGGGGGGGGGGGGTCCCACTCGCACGTTGGGACGAATCTATCGACCACGCGGTCGTATCAAAGCATCCTGAAGGGGGGCAGTTCGGAACGGGGCGCTCCTTGGAAAGACGTCGGTGGGAGTGATCCGAAAAAATTTCCCACTACAGTATTTGGGCCCCATGTAAAAACCTTTTGCCCGCGCGTGTATTCGCTCGTCAACTGACCAGTCAAATAAAACGGCCAACTCAAGTCACAGGACGCACGTCACCCTCAGAGGTTGTCAACGTTTTCTCATGGCAGACGCGCACACCAATTCCGCGATCGCGGGCTGCAACACTCAAGTACATATTTCCTCACGAGATGGTGCATCATCATCATCGTTCGAGTTAATGTCCGCGACATTGAAAGGGAGTCTTACCGAGAGGCGAAGGCCCCTTGGGGTCGTACAAAAGCCCAAGAAACTCGATGTCCGCCTTCTTGAAACCGTGCCTGGCATCCAGGAGCAGCATGACTCGCTGCAAAACGCCCAACAAAAAAAAAATGTAGGCGAGAATCGCATTATTTACCCCACGTACATCGCTTTCACGAACGGGCGGGCTTGAGAGCGGGCGGTACAATATTCGTGGACATCAATTGACCACAACTCCCTCTTTAACCGGATTATCTTTCCTGACGCACAGACATCAAGCGGGGGAGGGTTTTCATCCTGTGACGTCGCTACCACTGACCTTGAGCGGTGCTCCTCGCCCTCGCAGATAGGCCATCATCTGAGGTGGCAAGGACCAAATCACACGACAACCGAGGAAGGCACCGACGATTAGTCCGGGGGGGGGGGGGGCGAGGCAGACGAAGCGGGACAAATCAGCATGAACTTATCAACGCTCTCATGTCACCAATACTGCACACGGATTTGTCTCGCCAATGTTATTTAGCCATGACGCACACGGCTATGACTCGCCCGTGAAAGCTTGCTGCACATCCGATCAAAGACCCAAAAGGCGACAAAGACAAGGCTGAAACGTCCGACATGTTTGGCGATCTGCATCGCCCACAGCGCTCGGTGGCAGCGCGTGCAACGCATCCGCTTCTTTGTACATTCACAAGTGCTTTGCCGTTCGCGCAAAAATGGGCTGACGCCCTCACCCCCTCCCACGATCAACTTCAAAATATTTCACAGGTGCATCGAAAACAAAGGCAGGTGGATGGCTCACCAACCCCTTCCAGTCTTGCCGTTGCTCCTCGTTCGCGTAGGCGAACCCGTAGCCAGGCATATCAGCAATAATCATCTTCGCCCTGCAGAACGCGCGGACGATATACATACATCATACCGTAGTTGGCCGGCTGGTCTACGAAAAGCCTGATGCGGAATCCAGGAAGTTTCTCTACGAAAGAAGACGCTTGGAGGTTGGGTGTGAAACTCGTTCCGAACACATTCCGGAGTAGATGTCGCACACCAAGCTTCAGTTTTGGCGTCGATGGGGGCCGACAGCAGACACGACTAGTTTTGACGCGGCAGCAGTCGTAGCTGCGTCAGCAGCGTGTTCGCGAAACGGCCAGCGAGAAATCCAACCACGAGTTACATACGCGTCGGGAAACGAGAGGGGCAGATGATCGCACACGAGTAAACCGTAAGAATAAAAAATGACAATCATCCAGCCTCCGCTGTTCGTGTGCACGCCATAAACAGACGAATGGCCAAAAATCGCCCTAAAATGAAATACGGTGGGAAATACGGTGGGAACTGGCCCACCCGCACACCCACGGAGTTGCTAAAGAACAGCGTTCATGGGGGGTCTTTCTCTGCATGACAGCAGCCGCACAGCGCAGCAGAAAAGGGATGCGTCGAAAACCCCCGCAAAGTGGCCCAAAACAATGAGTGCTCACCTTTTGCCTTTCCCTATCTGAAAAAAGTCGAGCGTTCGCGTTTCTCCAGGCCTGTTGGGCGCGCACGACGATCAACACATGGCCAACAGGAAAGCGAGCGAGAGCAAAACAAAAGTCGGGACTGGAGGGATAAATACCACCACTACTGCCGCTCGGTCAAACGAAAAAACGAGAGGAATCGATATCCTGCCCCGTAGCAACAAACGCGTTGAGATCGATGACATGGAGATATTTTTTACTGGTGGCTGTAGAAAGCTCAGCATACACACCCCGGCTGCATCAGATTCTCTCGACAGCAAATAGGTGCGTAACTCGTGCGCCGACATACTCCTGGATCGAAAGAGCCCAATAGCAGAGGTGTTGGTAGTAGCCAACATGACTCATGGCGGGAGTTAGGATGTTAGTTGCCTTACAGCTTTCAAAGACGAGCATTCCTTATCGCCTGCTGTGATCTAAGAGCAAAAGCAAGACTGCCCTAAATAAACAACCCGAAGCGCCGGCGGAACCACTGGAGACAATCGATGCACTGGCTGTGTAACACACGCGTGCCTTTCTTTACCAGTAGCCTACGCAGGGTTTCTATTATGCGAGCATGTTGGATGAAGTATGGAATCGGTGGGAATTTCGGTTAGGGTTAAAGCCTTCGTATCCCCTGCCTCTCTTAAGTCATAGATGAGCGACTTAACATCTTCGCGTAGGCGGTCCTGTCTCACAGAGCGGTCGTGAAAGTCGGCCAACACTACGCCCGGCGCTCACGTTTTTGAGACGGTGGCTCTCTGGTCCGGGTGCTTCTTGAGGCCCACGAGTGCGTTGAGTAGGGTCGACTTGCCCA